ATAATTTTTAATTTTGGATTTCTAAAAGTGATTAATTAGGTATATTTCTATTTTATTAATCAGTTGATACACATCTATTAGAAATAAAAAATAATAGATACATCATTTAGTTTAACGCATTTATCAATATTTACTAGTTAATTCATTAAAATTTAAAGTTTTAAATTTCTCACTTTTAATTTCAATTTAAAATAATACTTTTTAATAAACGTATTACGAAATGTATTAACAAACTAGAGGGTGTATAACTGTATGCATTAGTGTCTATTAGAAATTATACTTCTAAGTTCTAACTATTCCCTGTAAAGTATTCATGGAGATCGATTTAAACTAAACGAAAAATTGGTAAATTAGATAACAATTTTTCATTAGAAAAAAAAAAAAAAAGAACCGTTTAACATGTAATCATATCTTGTAGTAAACATCATTTGTCGTGTGTCATGCAATGGCCGAGAAAGGGTTATGAAACAAAGAAGGAATAATGAATCACCGTGGAGAAAAAGTCTAGCCAAATAGGCAAAAACCAAGCTGATCAAATTCCTCTGAAACTAGAAAGGAATAATTTCTTTTTAAAGTTTCAATAACAAACCTCAAAAAGGAAATTAACCTCTCCTGATATTCTTTCTGTTCTTTCAATTATATATAACTAGCATGCAATATTAAAGGGTACACAGCATTTGGTTCAAGAATTCTTGATATTTTTGGTCTAAGAAACAGAAGAAAACTACGATCCCGTATGGCAACCAAAGCCTGCTGCAGGCGCTCTCATGAAGAATTTGAGCCTCTCTGCAAATGGCTAAAAGATGAACGTTTTGATATTGTTGAGCTCGATTTACGAGGTATTCATCATAAGATCCCTTTCTCCTAAAAAAAAGCATTTTATTTATGTTTTTAATTTTAAACTAAAAAATAATGATTTTTTGAAAAGTGTGTTGTATAATATGTTGAATAAAAATGTATATCAATTAGTATCATCAATTTAGAATATGACAATAACCCCACTCATTTTAATTTTTTAAGAAATATCATCAATTTTTCTTCTCAAGGTCCATGAGTTGAGACCTTATATTTTACTTTTTTTTTTAAAGGCAGACCTTATATTTTACTTAAATACAATTAAGCCTCTAATTATTTTCTGACTTTCAAATTTGGCCTCAAAATGTTTTTTATTTCAAGTTTCCAAAAGAAATTAATTTAACTAACTAAATATTTTGTTTAGATACAATTACCTACAAACCACTTTGTCCATAGACACTAAACATACAAAATATTATGTGAATAAGTGTTAATTAATACTATCTTTTCTCCTTTGCCTCCTTTTTCTATCTTGTGGAACACTAAAATAATGCTCTGCTTAGACATTGAGATCAAGGTGCAAACAAAATCAAGTTAAAGGAAAGTTTAATTATAACTTATATAAAGGAAATTATGCTTGATTAAATATTACATCAGCAGTACTAAATTTGGGCAATTTTGAGGATAGTAGAAGTACACGGTGTTTCTTAGATTCAATCGGAATGTTAGGACTTAATTGTACATTAAGAAAAAGTCCAAGAGGTTGATTAAGAGTATTCCTTAACCTTGCTTGTAGGTTTCAAAAAAGAACAAATTAAGGTTATGATTAATGAGTGTGCGGGCATCATATCCATCGCCGGAGAACGACCACTGGAAAGAACCATAACGAGCTGTTTCCGCAAAGATATCAAACTCCCCGCTGACATCAAAATCAATGAAGTACGGGCCAAGTTTGGTTGTGGCGTCCTTACCATAACAATGCCCAAAAAACCTCTGATTCTCGAGCTGAGGCAAGACTGCGGAAGGTTAGGACTGGCCGATCGTGAGGGTCCTCCATCATTAAAGGATTTTGGTGTTAATGCGGTTGCCATTAAGCCTGATGAAAAATGTACGGCGAAATACATAGCGATTGTGGGGATTGTGGGGGTGGTGACGTCGCTGGTGCTATCTGGTGCTTGCTGTTGTTGCAAATATTATCAGCTGTATTGTCACGTATAGAAAATTGATTAAATTTGTTGTGATGTGAAGATGTGAGGAAAAATAGTGATGACAAGAACAAATAATACCTTTTTTTTTTGGGGAAATAAATAATTATTTAAATTTATCCTAGATAAAATGACTATATAAGGCTTTATTTCAACTGGTATATAATTATTTGAGTTTCAACATACGAAAACACATTGTAGTTTCATTCTGCCTAAAATTCTTAAACATTAGCCAAGATAAGGGGGCCTTAGGGGGCACAAACCCCCCCTAAATTTTTAAAAATTAATGATTTTTTAATATATATGTTGTGAAGTGTGTTAAACCAAAATATATATCAATCAATATCCTTTTTTTGATAGAAAAAGTGTTATTCAATACAAACTATACTTAATTACATAACGATAACCATTAGATGGGGGTAGACCCTTCAATATTGGGGTTCTTCCTCATCCAATGGCTCTTGTTTTACAATTCAATACGGTTCAAACTATAAAATAAAGAACTATTTTCTAGTAGGTTTTTTATTTTATTTCATAAAAAAAATTAGTTGTTCAATTAATTTGTTAAATATTCCTTCTGTTTCATTTTTAGTAGTCCTACTTTGACTTTTTGATTTTTTTAAACGTAAATTTCAAATAAAAATTTAATATGTCATGTGAATAATGATTGAAAATTATTTTGATCAAATAAAAATACTCAACAAGAACTTAATATTAAAAAGAAAAAAAAAACTTTTTGATTGTTATTCATTTAAGCTGTTAAAATTTCATTTGAAAATTATGTCTAAAAAATCAAAAAAATTAAATTAAGACTATTACAAATGGTAGAGGAGTATAGTTATATATTTGGAAAATAACCTGTACACCCTCCATTTAACACATTTTCTAACATATTTTCGGTTCAATTATTAAAAATATAATATAAATATAGTCAATTCAGCCAGTTATTATAACTTGTGTGCATGATTATATATTTAAACTTATCTGCATTTAATTTCAAATCAAGAAATAATATTTTTAATGTGTGTTAAACAGTGTGTTAAACTGAATGTATATCAATCACTATCCTATATATTTTTTTATGTTCACCAACAGCTACACTATCATAGCAAATTTTTTCCTTTTTGCTATTTTCCACTATTTGCTATTGGTAACCTTGAATAGCGGTCACTTTGCTATTTGCTATGCTATGGATTTTTGCCGTTCTACCATTGATCACTATTTGTTACTGAATACTTATTAAACTTAAAACAGAATCATGGGTGAACATTCTACGATACCAAAGAAATCAAGGGTTGAAAAAATTGTTAAAGAAAAGAAAAGGTAGAAGGGGACTTCAAAAACCAAGTTTGAAGAGTATTTGGAAATGGAGGTGCTTGGTGCTTTTATATCTACTCAAAAGATTTGGAACTAATGAGGAAACTAGCTAAGAAACTAAGGCTAAGGATGGTAGATTAATGGGAAATAGTAGTCTCAATGCATTACTTGAAGGAATCCCATTTGTTCTAGATTCTCTAAGGAGATGTTCAAAATGGTGGAGAATTTTCTAATGGGGGATCAGTGGATATCTCTTTTATTCTTTTTTTTTTAACAGCAAATCCTACTTTTATTAATAAAATGAGTATAAGGGGCACTCAAACCTGTTTTATACTATACAAAAACCATCCATTAAATATAAATCTTGTCATTCAAACCATTCCTTCATTGCCCTTTCTTTCCACCTTTGTTAACTTTAGACATGCAACATGGTTGATTAGCTAGTCTAAAAGATTAAAGGCATACCTGGCTTAAAAGAGTGGAGTAGTAAATTGATTGCAGATGTGGACCACAAAATAAATGAAGCTGAAAAAAGTGATAGCTTCATCGAATGAGAAAGGAGAGAAAGCCCAATTATCTGCTAACGACATTGAAAAGAGGAGAAACTGCTTTCTTGATCTTTGGAAAAACTTAAAAATCAAGGAGAGAATGTGGCAACAAAAGTAAAAAAAGATGTGGTTGAAAGAAGGGGATACAAATACAAAATTTTTTCATAGATGTGTGAAGGGAAGATGGAGAAGAAATGAAATTAATTGTATCCAAATCAATGGTGAACAACACACCAGTGTGGCTGAAATAAAAAAGGAGGTTGCTAAGTACTTCGAAGGATTGTTTATAGAAGAGAAATGGTAGAGCCCAAAGCTTGATGGCATTAGTTTTAAACAAATATCTCAGGTAGATAATGAGCTCCTCACAGCCACATTTTCTAAAGAGGAAATTAAAGAAG